CTGCTCTCCTCCTCTCTCGCCTGGTCCTTCTTTTCATTAAAATCATATTAAAGAGTTGGAAGGGACCTTGTAGGGTCATCTAGTCCAACCTCCCTGCCCTCAAATATTGGAAGACTACTATTCTGCCTCCCCTGGTCCTTCTCTTCCCTAGACTAGCCAGGCCCAGTTCCTGCAACCGTTCCTCATATGTTTTATTCCCTACCCCCAAGCTCTCACGCCCCCTCCCCCCACGGCCAGGTCCGATTCGCTGGTGGGGGGCGGGGAGCTGCGCTGGGGGCGGCTGGAAATCGCACTTGCCAAGGGGCGGCGGGGGAAGGGGGGTCCTCGCCTCTCCCGGCTGCAGCCCCCGCCCAGGCCACGCCCTCCTCCCGTCCCCCCCTCCGCCCTCGGCTCCCCCTCCCTTCCTCCGTGCTTCTCCTCCTCTTCCTCCCCCCCCCTCGGGAAGCTCCGCAGGCTTCTCCCCCACCATACTATCACGTCACTCCCTGCCGCCGTGACGTCACGCCCGAGAAGTGTGACGCGTTCGAAGCGACTCGGCGAACCAGGCGACCACCTGCTCCGGGCCTCCGCTGTGCCGGCGCGGCTGCTGGGCCTCCTTCTCCTTCTTCGTGGCTGTCCCGGCTTCTGTCCCGTTCCAGCCTCCCTCGGCTGAGCGGCTCCTCAACGCTCCGCGGAGTTGCGGGGAAGCAGCTCAAGCCCGGACTCGCACTGCGCCTGTGCCGCTAACGGTCAGCGGCCAATCAGCGAGAGGGACCGGGAGGAGCATGCTGGGAAACGTCGGGGAAAAAAGCGCCACCCGAGGCGGGAATCTGGACTGGACTACAACTCCCGGCGGTCCTCATTCCCGGCGAAGGAAAAGCGTGGCCCGGAACCACAATTCCCAGCATCCCTCGGGGCGGGAACCGGCTTCTTGCTGGGAGTTTAAATGTGAGAAGATTTCAGGCGGTAATAATAATGCATTTGCAATATGCTTCATTTAGAACAGAGGTCCCCAAACTTGGCCACTTTAAGACTGGTGGACTCCAACTCCCAGAATTCTCCAGCCACTGGCTGGAGAATTCTGGGTGTTGAAGTCCACCAGTCTTAAAGTGGCCAAGTTTGGAGACCTCTGCTTTAGAATAAAATCTGACCCAAGCCTAAAGCAGGCCTGAGCAACCTCCAAGCCGAGCATCAGGCGCCGCCTGTTGGGCTCGCCTTGAGCCCCCGCAGGAGGCAGGATCCACTCCGGCCAAGCAGGCCCGATGCTGCCTTTTTTTCCCCTTTCTTTTTTTAATCTGTTTTGTTTGAAATCTTGAACCCGTGACAGCCAAAACTTCTATGTCAGTTGTCTATTTGTTCAGCACTTGTAACTTTGAATGGACACGCCACCTCAGAAAGCTCAAACTGCCCAATGAGCTGCTGATCCAGTTCTACAGAGGAATGATGGAGTCTGTCATCTGCACCTCTATAACTGTCTGGTTTGGTTCTGCAACCCAACAGGACAGACACAGACTCCAGAGAGTAATTAGGACTGCAGAAAAAACCATTACTACCAACCTCCCTTCCATGGAGGACCTATATCCTGCATGAGTCAAAAAGAGGGCTGTGAAAATAGCTACAGACCCCTCACATCCCAGACATAAACTCCTTCAACTCCTACCCTCAAAACGATGCTATAGAGCACTGCACACAGAACTGGACACAAGGACAGTTTTTCCCCAATGCCATCCCTCTGCTAAACAAATAATTCCAATACTGTTCAACTATTTACAAAGTCTGCACTACTATTAATCTTCTCATCACTCCTTATTGCCCATCCCCTCCCACTTGTGTCTGTAGGACTGTAACTTTGTCGCTTGTATCCTTATGATCTATATTGACTGTTTCCTAGCATGATTTACAATTGTTTAATGTACCCTATGACTATCATTAAGTGTTGTACCTGATGATTCTTGACTGTTGACATTTCTTTTATGTGCACTGAGAGCATTTGCACCAAGACAAATTCCTTGTGTGTCCAATCACCCTAGGCCAATAAAGAATTCTATTCTATTCTATTCTATTCTATTCTATTCTATTCTATTGAATGGACACAGCCCAAGGATTACCTATATTATCCTTAGAATAATTGCTTTATATGAGGATCTCAGCATATTTTCCCCCCAATTTTAATGTTTAATACACTTTTGCACAGAATAAAACTCATTGCCTTCTGATTTCTAGCCTGGTCTTTTCATCACTGGACCAAAATGGCTCTGAAATCCTGGTTAAGACCAGAATAGAGAGCCCTGTAGTTCTTGATAAGAGCCCCCCAGGCAATCAGTTCCTCCGGACGATCCAAAGGGGCTGAGCGCATCAGCAAAACATGACTGATCAAAGGCAGGTAAGAATTCAGGTTTCATTCCACACCAAGGTTGCAGGACTAGCAATATTTCTCTCTGCTTCCTGCACCCAGAGATCGGCATTCAGCAGCACTAGGCCCTGGTTAGCATATTCTATAAAGACATCCAATTATAATTTAGTAAATAAACATGGCTTAGCATATTGATTTATATCCTTTTATTATTTTTACAAATAAATCAAGGAGATGAACACATCTAATCGTGTATGCTGCTAACATACCTCTCCCTTCAAATTTCTCAGCATTTTGATCATGCTTGTTCATTTTTGAGATTTTGGTTGAGATATAAGGATCATTGTATGGTACTGTTAGATCCGTGTATCTGACATTCTTCAATGGAAGGAACGGGGGTGGGGTGTTGGGTTTGATGCATTTAATTCTTTTCCTATGCATCCTAAATATCCTATTTCTTATAGCATCTTTTGTATAACCTTTCACATGATTTATAACCGTTGCCTGGTGCCCCAGATGCTTGGGAAATTCTCACCTCTTGGGTAGATGCAAGGGGAGAAGGGGCCATGTTGATTGCAGTTCCAGAAAATAGCCCTGGGAAATCTACCTTATCTGCTTTCTCAGGGAGGATGGTATAATAACATCTTCACACCTGCTGAATGGTGGAATCCACACTGGACTGTTGGAAGGGGCTTCTAATTCCCTTTATCCTAGTTGCATGCCCTGAGGGACCTCAGATCTTGCTTTGAATTTTGACTTGCTTTTACCTCCCTTCAATAAAAAGATTCCTTTTGAAATACAAAGTTTTCAAGAGTCTATACTTATTTTATGAAGAGCGGAGAGGCTGGTCCTTACAGGTACATTCAGAAAGTATTCAGACCCCCTTCACTTTTCTCAAGTTTGTTATGCTGCAGCTTAATTCTACTGTTGTTGAAATTCATGTTTTTTTTCTTATTAGTCTACATTCATTACCTCATAATGACAAAATGAAAACAGAATTTTAGAAATGTCTGTAAAGTTATTAAAAAGAAAAAACTGAAATATCACATTGGTATAAGTATTCAGAGCCTTCACTTAGTACTTTTGACGAAGCATCTTTGGCAGCAATTACAGCCTCTAGTCTTTTGGACACCTGGATGAGGAAATTTGCTGCCATTTTTCCTTGCAGATCCTCTCAAGCTCAGTCAGGTTGGATAGCGAATGTCAGTGGACAGCCATTTTCAGGCCCTCCCAGAGATGTTCAATAAGGTTCAAGTCAGGACTCTGGCTGGGCCACTCTAGGACATTCACTCCTGTGTTGTCTTAGCTGTCATGTTGGAAAGTGAACTTTCGGCCCAGTCTGAGGTCCTGAGGGCTGTGGAGCAGGTTCTCACGGCCCCATCTTGCATGGATTCCAAGGTCTTTTTAATATATGGCTTTGCTCAAAGGCTGGGGGTTAGGTTGTTTGTGACCCCTGACCCTGTCGGGGCAGTATTTTAGGCACTGGGTGATCTTTTCAAATGTATATATATTTGCTTTGCCAGTTTTCAGTTTCCATTACATAAGCCACCCAGAGTTATTTTTGGAGTCATGCACCTTACATTAATCCCCCCCACACACACACACGGCTTTTAAGAGCGGGGCATTTCATGGCTAATATTAATTTTTATCAACATGCAACATCTCAACCTTATTTCAGCAAAAGGGATTTCTCTGACATCTTTGAGAGCCAACTCAGCCATGATTCCCAAAAGGTCTTTTATGGTTCCAGGAATGGCAAATGTGACATGGCTGCAAGAAAAAAAACATGCTTCAGTCCACTCATGCGTGGATCGCAGTCACTGAATGCAGAGATGAAGTTTATTAAATTTCCTTGGCATTTTTTTTAAACAATGAAAAGCAAACCTCTATTACAAAATACAGCCCAAGGCTTTCACATCCAACTTCACCCCTGCCTGAATCTCTGCTCTTAGAGGTTTTGAGAACCTTCTTCCCATGGGGGAGAGCAAGGAAGGGGGCTATGCGCACCATCTGAACTTTCATTAAGACACCCGAAGGGGCCTCTCAGCCAGGGGCTTCTCTCTGGAAGAAAGAACCAGCAGGGCCCAGTCTGTCTCCAACGAAAGCCCGTTCACCAAACTGGGTCGCTCGTGCAACAGGCCAAGAAAGAGGAGAGAACCCAAGAGAACTGTAGCCGTGGTGAACTCTGTATAGCCAGCCCTCTAGGTCAGCCTGCCCCAGAGCATCATCCTCTCTAACAGCACTCTGGAGAGTCAGGGGCCCCCTCCTCCCCAGACCAAATGAGACAAATGTATATATAATATATAAAAAATACAGAGCTTTGACTTCTTCATTTTGAAGTAAATGTACACGATACAGTTGTGAGCAGGAGGTAATTCTGAAAGAGAGACAGGCCGTGGGATGGGTGGCATGGAGAACAGATGATAAACCCACCCACCCCAGCTCCACCACACCCAAGTTGCCCCCACCCCAGTGGTCCAAGGGGGGGGGGGGAAATATTCAAAATAAAATGGTGCAAACCAAAAGGCTCCAATGAGTTTTGCAATTTTGTTTCTTCAAGTAAAGATGCAAGAGGGGGTCACTTCTCCCAGTTCACCACTTCAGTTCAGTAGCAAATGTTAAGTCCACCTAAAAAGCAGCTGTGCTTTCGAGTTCTCTTTTGTGTGTGTGTGTGTTTGCGCCTTCCCCTTAAGACTGGAGCGCCAGGAGCTGCTGCTCTTCTGGATCTTTAAATTGCTTCTGAAAATCCTCTCCCCACCTGGCAGGGGAAGCCTTCCCAAAGCCTGATGGGACAGTCCAATTCAGCCTGCATCCTAGGGCAGAGTTTTTCTTTCTTTCTTTCTTTCAGATATATGTAAATAGAGGAGAGGGACAAAAACAGCAGCAACTTGGCCCAATTCCCTCAAAAGGTGCTGTTTGGCAAGAGGATTTTCCTCCCCCCCCCCCCCAAAAAAAGAGACCCTGGGTGGGCCAAGTGGTGCATTTGGCAAATCAGGAAAAGTCTCTTAATAAAAATTAACATGTGCAAATTATTTTAAATAGCTGAATCCAAGCATCCAGATTAAGATTCCTTGGTTACAATTCAGATTACCTTGCCTTCTCCCAGTGGGGGAAAAAGTCACCTCTCAAGTACCCAAGTGAAAAAAAAATCTCATCCGAGGAGAAAAAAGTAATACACCACAAAAAGAAAAGAAAAAACTGGAGGAAACCCACAAACTAAAAGGCATTTGCACCCCCCTCCTCCATCCACTTCAGCACCTGCTTTTTTTGACACACTCGTGCAGCACAAAAAAACGGGGAAGGAAAATAGTGCGTTAAGTGTCATCTCCTCTCCAGAAAAGTGTCAGCTGCTGCTGCTGTGTGTTGCGAAGGAGAAAGCTGTTTGGCAACGGGTGGCGCAGGCAGGGCCGCCTTCCGCGTGGCAGAGAAGGAAACAGGGTTGGGGTGGGAAGGTTCTAGGCAGTTGACTTTCCCTCAAAGAGAGGGTCTTCTTCCCCTCGACTCCGCACACCCTGGTTATAGCTGGAAGCCATCCATGGGGGCCTCGGGCTGCTGGAAAATGAACTGCTGCTGAGCTTCGTCCACCTGGGGGGCCAGAGCAGAGTCATCGTCCTCAATGCCAAAATAGTGCTCGTACAGGTCGAAGGCCTTCTGGTAGATCTCTTGGTTTTCATGGCTCTGGAGGAACTCTATTTTATCCAGGCCTGGAGGAGAAAGACACCACTTACAAGGAATTCCACATGGGAGCTCAGGCGGCTGACCCAACTGAGCCGCCAGGAACAGGCAGCCCTCCACATTTAGTGACTGTCTGAAGCTACAACGGGGCTGAAAGAAACATCTCACACTTGCAAGGCCTGCAGGGTCTCTGGGGCCACAGAATGGCAGCTCAGGCACTCGGCAACCAGTGTGTATCGACAAGGGCTGCAGCCGCCCCCCACCCTCCGGGGGGCCAGGCCATGGGCATTCGTAACCTCCACAGCCAGCTTCCCCCAAGGAAAGCCAATGGGGAGAGCCGGATCCACATAACAAAAAAGGGCAAAAAAGGTAGGGAAGTTGGGTGGCCACCCTGCTTAGCAACGGACATTCCAGTCCCAACTGTGACCAAAAGTCTATTCGTAAGACCCCTGGCTCACAACCATCTTGACTATGCCTATCATTTTGTCTGTGGAAACATTTGGGTACTACAACTGGCGGGGGGGGGGGGGGGTTTGCAACATTTCCCCATCCATCCCATCTGGCAAGGCTGCCCTTTGGAGAACATGGCAGGTGTGAATGGAGCACCCAGAACTGTTTAAAGCAGAGACAGCTCTTCTTGGGCTCATTGCACTTAGTTTTAGGAGTTGCTGACTGGAGCAACCTTCGTGGCCCAAGTTCCCTTATGCCCCTTCAATTCTCTGAATCCCAGAAAGGCAGCCTCCCTCAAACACATGGCCTGAAACGCCCAATTCTCAGCTATGGCGGGAGACGCTGGAATTCCATGTCAGCCGATTTGCAGGTCGTCTTCAGGTTAGAACAGGGTAACTGAAGCAGTGGCATAAGGCCGGGGTCCCCAGCCCCCAGCCCTGGCCCACTGCCAGGCTGCGGCCAGTTCAGAACTGGGACAAGCAAGGTGCATGGCGAACACGCGCACCCCTCCACTTGCTCGCGCACAAAGCGCCATTCACGCCAGTGGCAGGTGTTTGCATGAGCGGCAGGCACTTGCACGAGCGCGCAAAGCATTTGCAGGAGTGGCAGGCATGCGCGCCCATTGGTGCAAATGAAGTTGTGCGCGTTCACAGGCGTGCCATCTCCTCCCCCTGCTGGCCCACCAAGCTGGAAAGGTTGTGGACCGCTGGAGTAAGGAGTAGATGATCACCTCTAACCACTGAGAGTTGAGAAAACTGGGGCAGAGACAGAAGTAAAGTCAGGTAAGTTACTTCTTCTGTGCTACCCAGTCATACGCTGCAAAGTTGTTGTTTGATTTTAAATAAAAACACTTTGAAAAATTAAAATGCTTCCAGCTTGATGCTGAAAAACATCGGGTTGTTAGGGATGCCCCACCGGGAAGGAATGGCACAAAGGGGAGCCTCCATTTGCAAACAGCCCCAGCCCACGTTCCAGACCCGGCCCTCACCATAAGCTTCCTCAATGAGGCTGCAGTAGGGGTTGATGCCGGTGCCGCTCTGCTTGGCCTCCTGCTCTCCCAGCCGCAAGATGTTCTCCAGGCCATTCAGGGCCACCTGAACTATCTTGGAGTCCATGACGGTCAACAGATCACACAGGGGTTTAATGCAGCCCAGGTTTACTAAGTATCTGGAAACGAAGCAAAAAAAAAAACAACAGAAGATAAAACTACTGGCAAAATTGAACCTTCTTGGGAGAGTTGCTTGCTGAGAAGACACGCCGTCTTCCCCAGTTCCTCTGAAATTCAAGCTAAGACTCCTACACTTAGCAAACTGTAAGAGGAAAATAAAAGTATTAGGATGCGTATAATTTATTCTATGTTTTACTATTTGCCTCTCTTCCCCATCACAGAGCTGTTCTTTATGGTCAGCACATAACTGTGTAATACTGTAAAGAAGGATAAACCCTCAGTCGTCGTGTATTAGAATAGTAAGTAAAATCCACATGCTCTGCAGGACATAGAATCCGAGGGGGGGAAGGGACCAACCCCCCTACCCAAAGCAGGAGACCTTATATCATCCCGGACAAATGGTGGTCCAAATCTTTTCTTGAAAATCTCCAGCAATGGACCACCCACAACCGGGGTAGGTAAGCTGTTCCGTGAATTAATCCTTATTACTGTCAGGAAATTTCTTTTTAATTTTAGGTCGGATCTCTCTTTAACAAGCACCCGCCCACTGCTTCTTGTCCTGCCCTCTGGTGCTTTGCAGAATACTCCTAAGTCCACCCTCTCTTCTCTGTGACAGCCCCTCAAGCACCGGAAGACAGCGATCAGGTCGCCCTTTATTCTTCCCTTTGTTAGACTAGACATACCTAGTTCTCTTAACTGTTTGGCCTCCAGACCCCTTTTCCACTTTGTGGCTCTTCTCTGCACTCTTTCTAGGGTCTCAGCATCTTATTTTGTATCTTGGTGATCAGAACTGGGTGCAGCATTCCAAGTGTGGCCTCATTCGCGCAATATAAAGTGGCACTATCACTTCTCGTGATCTTGATGCTGCCTCCCTGTTGGCCTTTCTGGCAGTTGCAGCACCAAAGCAGTGGGCCACCAGGACAGACAGCTATTGCCTCATCGAAACCAAATCCTCCATACAGGGGAAACGATCTGGTGGAGGAAACCGCGTGTCTTCTTACTTATTCCTTGGTTCACCTCAAGGACACGACTTTCTTGTCAGCCTCTGATCCGACCTTTGGTCATTTTTCTTATCAGCTGACAGACAGTGAGGCAGAACTTCTTACCTTTCACGTTCCTCATTCCTTATTCACAATTTTAATGCTGTCACCTGCCAAGAGTCGCCTTGTGACAAGATGAGCAGCAAACAAATTTAATAAAAAATAAACATTAATGACTGGAAGCTCCTTAGATGAACAATTAATGTTGGGTTAACTCATTTTACCTAGGTATCCAATTCTTGTTTAGGGGAAAAAAATAATTTAAATTTAAACATTGGAAACAGAGTAAAACTTGTCTGTGCCAAGAACATTAAGTTGGCGAAGGTTTCTCCCATGAACTCCAGGGGTTCTTTTAAGTTTTTGGTTGCCACAAACCTGTTAATATAAGAGAAATGCAATCACAAACAAAAAACCCCGACTCCAAAGTGAAAGTTGGGCCTTACTTAATCTGCTCCGGCGTTCCTCCTGATGTGGCGTTTGTGATGGCCCAGGCGGCTTCTTTCCTGGTGCGGAATTCCGCCTTCTGCAGGATCTCAATTAATACTGGAAAGATGTTTGCGTCTATGACCGCCTGTAGGGCCAGAGGAAGGACAGGGTTAGCTAGAGGCTGAGCACTGGGCCCAACCCCGGTCCTCTCAAGGCAGAGGAACAAACAGGCGAGGACAGAGCTGTAGCACAGGTAGTCCTCACTTAATGACCAGTTGTTTTATGTCCACCAGAAGATATGACAGCCACCGCACAGATGCGTTATGGCCCATAAAACAGTCCTGGCCATTGTAACAGGCTGCACCATCCCCTTGCAATCACGTGACTGCATGTCAGCCAAGTCAGCTTCATGACCAGTGGTGGCATTCCACAGTCAAGTGGCTGAGATTCACTATGTTTTTTGCTGGTTTCCGGCAAAAAAAACAAAAAAAAACCTTACCCGGTCATATGAATGGGTTTGCTTAATGACTCTGGTGTCTGCTTAACACTGTTTCAAAAAGGCTGAAAAAGGACACCACCAGTACATTGGTGGCTGGGTTGGAGGTTAAAAGCAGTATATTTCTTTCAGGAGAGATTTCTCAATATGATTAAATAGCTTACTATTTAGAAGATTTTCTTCTATCCCCTTGGAGCAATAGAAGCAGGGTGGGGAAGCATTGACTTCCAGGTGAATCCTGAGAATTCTCCAACAAGCCTAGAGCCTTGCTGAGAATTCTGAGATTCAGTCTAGCTATTGGGAAGGTTACCAAATTGATGAAGGCTGAAATACCATCACCCAATCAACTGAAGGGTTGCTAGATAAGGTTTGTCTTTTTGCAAGTGACCCAAAGGCATGTAAGAGAGAGTGGATGTTCCTGGAGGGATTCGTAACAAGGAAATCGATTTGGCATGGCTGAAAAATGTCAGAAATATAGAAACTCCAGCTCCGTGTTTCTACACGTAAGACCGTGCCCTTGGGGGCAAAGAATCCTCAGAAGAGTCCGAAAAGCAGCCAATCATTTCAGCCTCAGGGGTGTCACTTCCTCTGGCTTATTACCTGTATCTGAGCTCTGTTCCCTGCTGTCACATTGGAGATAGTCCAGCAAGCTTCTTTCCGGATGGACTCTTTGGGGCTGCTAAGCAGATGAAGGAGACAAGGCAAAGCTGAGCAATTTAGGATCACCTAGAAAGGAAAAGCAAATCAGGGCCCCGTTTCAAAACTTCTGCCCACCTCCATGCAACAGAATGGGTGGGTGGTCTTGGGGAAAGAGAGGAAGAGATGCTCCCTAGGAGACAATCAGGCAAGAGAGGCTGGTGCCTCTCCCAAATGGATTCACAGTCAGAGGAAGGAATTTAGGAAGGACCCACCCTAAGGGATCAAGCGGGGCCAGCGGGAAGCAAGACTGTTGTCAGCCCTCCGGCTGGAGGAACCAGACAGGAAACAGGAGCTCATTCTGCATTAACAGAAACTTGCAAGCCTGAAGAGACAAACTTCCTGCCACCACTTTTAACCGGTTAATGCATCAGGGTGGGCCCTTCCTAAGTTTCTTCCTCTGACCCTTAAGTCCCTGGGGGCTGCCTTTGCTTTCATCTTCTAGGCATCATATTTTCCCCTCGTGTCCGTCCCCCCCCCCCCCCCCCCCTCACCCACCCCCCCTTTGCTCCTTTACACCCATCCCATAGGAAACAGCCCTATTAAAATATTACACTATAACAAAAGAGGGGATCATAATTTGGTTACAGATACCGGAATGCTGAACCAGAGCAAGACCAAGCTAAAGTTCAGCTGGCCTTCTAAAGAAAGCAGCAGCAGGGAGAGTCTAATCAGGAGAACATTTTGGAGAACTACCTTCCCAAATCAGACCAGGAGGTACCACCTGAAGGACACACATGACTGGGTGAAGCTGCTTACCTGTGTCAGTCCGGGTCCCTTGGTTATGGGACCAGATAAGCTTTGGTTACCTTTATGGGCAATAAACAGACATAAACAGGACAGGTAGAGCTCTCTTTGCATTTCTTAGTGGGGTTTCACATATTTCTGGACCACCTAATTTGTTTGGCACCGTTGTATTATGGTAGTGCCAATAATACTTTTTAATTAAAAATACTTTTAAAACATATATAAACAGGGAAGTGGAAAAGCGAAGTACCAGCTGCTAGCATCAATTTTTACTTACAAGACTCCCACCCAAGAAAACAGGCAGGAGATTGGCGGTGGGTGTTTCAAAGGGGAGCTGAGGGAACAAGCTCAGGGACCTCCTTTTTATGGGGTGGGGTGGGGGGGTGTCTCTGAGAAGCTCCACATTCCAAAGCTGCCACAAGTGCCACCTTGTCTTTTTGTCTTGGGTGTCCCATCCCCCACAGCTACATGAAATCTATTGCAGAGTCTGGCCAGGGTTTCTCTATCTTGGCAGCTGGAAGTGTGTGGATTTTAATACCCAGAATTCCCCAGGCAACTTGCAAGGGCTAAAAATGTCTTAATTAGAGAATGTAACTTGATATTGTGAATCATTCCAGGAAGGCTGGGAAACTTCCAAACTAGTGCCCAGAGTTATTTTAAACATGTGCAGGTGAACCAATTGAGGCTTAAGCTAGATAAAGCCAGATAAAGTGGGACCAGGATAGGCAGATTTGAGATAACCCTGGAAAGCCAAGGGGGCCTTTTGGGAATCCACACTAAGTAGAAAGAAAGTGACCAAAAAGGTGGAGTCAGGCTCAAAAAACAGCTACCAGCCAATCATGGTCCAAACTGCTTGAACTTTAAGACTGGGAACCTTTCAAGGGACCCACATCAATAAGGAGGACTGACATCTGGGGAGTGTCAAGGCAAGTGTGTGTGTGTGTGTGTGTGTGTGTCTGTGTGTCTGTGTGTGTCTGTGTGTGTGTGTGTGTGTTAATTTTCATGACAGACCCAAACATCCACTTATTCTCCTAAGCCCGTCTCTTGACTTGCTTATAAGGATGATAAGGAGAACAAGAAGATACCAAAATAGAAACACCCAAATAAAAAGATAGCAGAGAGGAAGGTAATTTCTAGCCTTCAGTGAATTGCAGTAAGAAAAACAAATGTAGTGTTCCCCACTCCAATGAGTAATTCCTGCCCCTGACATTAAGCCAGCCTCTGCTTTACATCATAGTTTGAGTACCAATTGCCTTATCACGGCCAGATTCCCCAACCTCTCTGCTTATGGACTGGAAGCGAAAGTCCTGGAGCTGGATTTCCCCCAGATTGGTGGTGGGTATTTCAAAGGACGGCTTGGGGAACAAGCTCAGGGGCCTCCTGGGGGGGGAGCCTGCGATGGGCTACACGAGGCCCACCCACCCCCATCACCTGGGTTTGGATATCATCCCCCGTCACAATGTTGCCAACTGCTCTCAAAGCTGGGGAAGCCACTTTGTAGTCGCTGTGCCTGTGTGTAGAAGAAGACAACAACACACTCAACGTTAAGTTTAGCCTCGCTTATTCATCCAGAATGCATTCCATCAGAGAAGAGAGCCTCGGTGGCGCAGTGGTTAGAGTGCAGGGCTACTTCTGCTGACTGACAGCTGCCTGCAATTTGGCAGTTCGAATCTCACCAGGCTCAAGGCTGACTCAGCCTTCCATCCTTCCGAGGTGGGTAAAATGAGGGCCCAGATTGTTGGGGACAAGAAGCTGACTCTGTAAACCTCTTAGAGAGGGCTGTAAAGCACTGCGAAGCGGTATATAAGTCTAAGGGCTATGGCTATCAGAGACATCCCAGTAAAGTCTGCTTGTGCAAAGCCAGGACTCAATCCAGGAAACCCCATAGAGGCCAGTGGGAGAATCAAGGAAGTCCCTCAACTGTTAACTCAGCTGAAATCCACCACATGCTCCTCTGGGCTGCTGGCTGAGGAGGCTCAGCAACATCTGGAAGGCTATGCACCTCTTATGACCAAGGTGCATTACACCCAGTCCCTGCTTTCGTTAACATGTTCAGGCTAGGCCAAAGTCTGGAGCACCAGAGTCAAGGTTCCCATGTCAAATAACAGTCTTAAGCTACAGATTCTCTGGAATTCAGGTACAGAAGGTCATAATAGAGACGGTCATTGCGACCAATGGTTCGCTATGGATATGTTTTGCCAAAATGTTTTCAGCAAAACCATCATAAAATGCATTCAAATGGCCATGGGACATGCAAGTGCTATATATGCAACCATGTTGCCGGATGCCCAGAGTCTGGACATATGACCAGGCTGGGGTCCTGTCCGTCAGAATCAATTCACAGGGCTGGAGGGCGCCTTGAGGGTCTTCTAATCCAATCCCCTGCCCAAGGTAGGAGAGACCTTGTACCAACTTGGACAAATGACCGTCCAAGCTTCTCTGTCTAAGCTTCTCAAGAACCTTCAGAGACGGAACACTTTGAATCCAGGTCCTAAGTCCCCTTTTGGGGGTCAGTTGTAACTTGAACGGTCGCTAAGCAACCAGTCATAAATCCAAGATTACTTCTAGAAAGCTGGACCTGCACACAGCAGAAGTTTGCTAAGCAGCTCCCCCATCCTGGCCCTTTGGGTGGATTCCAGCTGCTTCGATGTGCTGGGATTGATACAGTCCCACCTACTTGGAAACACTAGATTCAGGAGGGGTTAAGCTAGGACTTCAGTGCATCCCCTCCAGCTCCCACCTTCCCTCAAGCTCTCCCAAATGTGCCTCAGTTCACTCAGCCCCCTTCCGATCTATTCCACTGGGGATGGGGGTGTAGGGGGATGGCAGGGACACCTGCACTGTTCTATCGTGATGGCAGATTGCAGCAATCTTTTGTGTGCGATGTGCGTTCCCACCATCCTCTCCCCACCTAGGAACTGGCTGAACCCTCTGCTGATGCTACCCCATATTTTAAAAGAAAGGAAACTGCCTCAGTATCATGACACAGATTAGCATTTGTCCTCTTTTGAAAACCAGATCGACTTCAGCTACACCCCCAATTAATGTGTCAGAAAATATTCAAGTGTAATTGTGAAACTGATTTAACTTGAAGAAGGCACATGACCCACTCTCAACTTTGTAAGGCAGTCCAGGGAAGAAGCATGCCCAGATGTGCTAGCAGTGCTTAAGCTTTTATTCACAGAAACACGCACGCCTGAAGTCCACTTCTCCCCCTTCAGCTTTCTAGTCCAAAAACCCAGGGAGGACCCTCCCAAAGCATTTCCCAGGCCCCCCTCCTTCCGTGAGGGCACAGCTGCCTCTTAGCCCAGGGCTGCCTTTCCTGCAGCTTCTCCTGTCTCCCGAGGTCATTCCGACACAAGACTCTTCGCATCCGATTTCTCAGAATGAACACAGTTCGTAAACTATTATTTGTGGCATATGTGAATCGAGCCAATTACTCAATAAGCTATATAGCTAAGCAAACCATAATTCAGCACTTTTACACTTACATTAGCAATTCCACCAGTCGCCGGCACACTCCTGAATCTATGACCGCCTGGATTTTCTCATTGGGTCCATCCGACAGATAGGAAAGTGCCCAGCAGGCATCTGCCAGCAAGTCTGAGTCACTGCTGAAGAGCAGGCGAGACAAAACTGGCAAACAGGACGACACCTGCACAAAAGCACAATTGCAAGAGACCGTGAGAAGAGCGGCCCAAGAGATCAAGAGGAAGTTTCAGGCATTTCAGCAGTTCTTCACGGAGCTTTAGGTGTGCAAGATCAAATCTTGCATTTCATGCTCAACTCAGAAGTACAGTTTGCGTATTCAAATCGGTGCTTCATGCTATACTCACATTAAACACTTATTTTAGAGCGGATAAATCACTCTCCTGTCCACAGATGCAGCAGTTTATTTATTTCATTTAGTGTATGGCATATCATACATGGACTAGCATTATATATTAACATTTCATCTACATTAGTAAAACACCAAAAAATATAAATGTTAAAAAATACTGATGATCTAGGCCAGGGGTGTCCAACCTTGGCAACTTTAAGACTTGTGGACTTCAACTCCCAGAAAAGCAAAGCTGGCTGAGGAATTCTGGGAGTTGAAGTCCACAAGTCTTAAAGTTGCCAAGGTTGGACACCCCTGGCCTAGGGAAGTGCAGAGCATCATTTATATTTTAAAAATCAGCTACTGGACCAGTTTTGACAGCTGGAAACCTGCAGTCACACTGAGAGGAGGATGCCAGGCGGCACTGATACGGAGAGTCCTGGCAGACGCCGTACGAGGTGTGAATCCTATTCAGGATTGTCCCTGGCTGACGTGGCAGTTCAAAGCCTGATACCCTTTTTTTGTGGGATCACCAATACGTCTTCCTGTGTCTGGGCACCCAGAGGCCCATTTGGCTTTCCACTGGGAACCAATGTTAAAGTTCCTGGGCAGATGTTGTGCAAGGGCCAGTGAGGGCTTCCTGGATTTGAGACTTCTGCTGATAAAGGAGGAAGGTCGGCATGTCCTGGTAGGAGTGAGTTGTTCATAGTTTCCCTGCGTTCTCTCAATTGTACATCTAGAAGCCAGCTAAGTCAGAGTGGTTTTAATACATCTGCTTACAATCCTCAGCCCCAGAACCAGCAAATCCGGGGGCTAGACGGGAGACAGACTGTCCTCAGTGTGGAAGACACTGCCACTCTCGAATTGGCCTTTTTAGCCACACTAGAATGCCGTTTTAGAACCTCTCTTCAGAGCACGATACCATCGTCTCTTGAGACGGAAGGATCCCAATTCAGTATTATAACCCTCTTGTTGCTGAGTCCGTCATCTCACGAAGGCAGCTGCTAAGCCCTACAGGGGCTCCATATTCTGCTGTGGAGTAGCCCACCCTAGTGCTGATGATCCTAGGGTGGCAGCTGAAGCTCCCCATTTAGTTCCAAAGACTTTCTGGACTATGTTATTTCTCGCATTGATTTTTGCCACCATATTCTCTAGGTGTATCTTATAGAAGACAGCCCGGTCCAATTTTATCCGAAGGTAGCTTGGGTGGGGATTACAGGGGAATATGTTGCTCTTTAAGTAGACCTTTGCTAGATACAGCAGTAACTCTGGCTTAGAATTATTACTCACAACGGTTATCTAGTCTGTTGGATAATAAAATACTAAACTTTGTACAAGTTGCTCAACCTGCAACCAGCATTATCAGGGCTGAAGTTACAATGAACACCTGCCCAAAGGTATATGTTTTATTGTTTTCACACATACTACACTTAAGGTGCTTTTAAACGCAAGAAGGAGAGCTAAATGATAGGAGTCTAGACAAAGCAGAGTTTCTCAACTGTGCTGGCTGGGGAATTCCAGGAGTTGAAATCCACCCATCTTCCAATTGCCATGGTTGAGAAAGTCTGTGGAACACAAGAGAGGCCTGTGGCTGGGAAAATAAAGTAATACACATTTGGACCATACCTTCTCAAACTCTGGGGGTGGGTACTTCCCTCTGCAGAGATTCGACAAAGCCCAGACCGCATTTCGTGTCATCGTCAACCTAGTAGATTTTGTGAGGAGCCTAAAATATAACCAAACGATGCTTAAGTCCACATTACAGCCTTTGGCTTAAACCAAGCTAGAATTTCTCCCAGGGGCTACTCACAACAATAGAGGAGGAAGGATGCCACAATTTAGGACATAGTCACGGCAGGCAGAGCTGTCTCCAGCGATGTTCCCCAATGCCCAGACAGCCTGGAAGAAGAGCAGGGGCTTCAGGACTCAGTTCTTGAGGTATGTTCAGAGCAACATCGAACAGGTCAAGTCAGGCTCAATCAGGCCTTGCAAATGAATCGCTGACTGTAGCCACTCCCATCTGTTTGTTATTATTGTGATAAACACAGTGCAAAATAGTCTAGGCAACTTTCTCAACCTAGCAGCCCCAGCACAGGGAGGAAGACTGGACAATGCATCCCCCTGCAGCTGTCCCTCTACACAGCTACTGCTCCGTATTTGATTAGTTCACCCCATTCTGTAACCCAAGACTTTTAATAGCTATTGTGGGTCTATACTTCTTTCTTGCCAACTGGCCCAGCTCTCATGCCATACAAAGCAGCTTGCATTACCCTGGGCAGTCCAACATATCTGTGACATCACAACAGCAGCAGAGCCCGAAGGTTAGACACTGAGTCCCGGGGTGATAAGAGAGGCAGTTGGTTCCTCTTAGGGTTGTTGTGAGAATAAACTGAGGGAAGGAGCCCTACCCCAATGTATGCTGCCTTCCAGGGGAAAGGCAAGTGATCAGTGTGATGTAATTACACCATAATTAGACCGTGGGACATAGAGTAACAGGGCTGAAAGGGACCTTGGAGGTCCTCTAGTCCAGCCCTCTGATCGAGCAGGAGGTCCCACACCATTCCAGACAAATGGCTGTCCAGTCTCTTCTTAAAGGTCTCCAGTGACGGAGCAGCCACAGCTTAAATACAACTGGAAACCTACAATGTGGTGGGATAGTTGAAAGTGTAGACAAGCGATGCAAAGTGGCTAGTTCACAGTCAAAAACATTTCCAAGCTCCAGATACCTCCCTCCTTAAACAAACAAATTTTAAAAACACCCAAATCTTGTGAGAACCAGTCATTTCAATGATTTTTTTAACTGGGAAGCTGGTGCCCTTTTAGGACACCATTGATCGCGTTTTGTTCACGACTTGAGCTGGCTGTTCTGCCGCAGAACAAAAGCTCAATCAGTAGCCCAGGTCTGAGCCTCACCTGTTCTTGGACATCTTCAAAATCAGCACTCAGCAATTCGATGAAGATCGGGACTGCCCCCGCCTCAATCACTATCTTAGTTTGTAGGGAGTTACCTGAGGCGATGTTGGTTAATGCCCACGCAGCTTCAAACTGGAAGAGAAGTAGCCAGTGAACGACTGACTCCCGTGGAGGTCCACAATCAATGAGACAAAAGTTGCTTTGGGATTGAACAGATCAAACTGGGGTTCCCATTTGTTCCTTGGGGGGGAGTTGGGGGGGACGGGGAGGGAATCATTCCACAAGACAAAATAATTCAGAAGTGAGACCTCCTAACTCTGGCTGCCATTTCTAACCTGCCATTTCAACCAAAACCTTCCAGAGGACCATTATCTGCGGAGGAAGGTGTGCACCAGCTCCAGAAGCCATCAAATAGATCCCATTTCACTGACACCAGTGAGGAATTCTCTTGTGGCAAGATGGCAACAGCCTCTTTGAATGGCAGCTCTTCCTTCAGTGGTGCTGCTGCCAGTCTTCTACCCCCACCCACCCCTTGCACAATGAACCTCCCCCACCCGAGCATGCAAATCAAAGGCAGAGGCGCAACTGAGGAGGGGCTGCCTGTTTGCCACCACTCACAAGACCAAAACCAAGGAGAAAAGCTGGAAGGAGGCCAACCAGACCAGGAAGGCAGAAGAAAGCCAATACAGAGTTGGATCCCGATGGAACCACTGGTGTCTGGTTCTCAACCCTAAACTGCCCTTCAGGAAGGATTCTTTATATTAAAGCATGATTAGTAATGTACATCTTTCTGAAGGACTGATAGTCTATAATTATTCAGGAATAAAGAACTAATAACAAGGTATTTCCTTTCACACATATCCCTTAACAAAATACCCTATGGCAAGGCTCTTCAAACTTGGCAAGTTTAAGACTTGTGGGCTTCAACTGCTGGAATTCCTGAGCCAACATGACTGGAGGAGGAATTCTGGGAGTTGAAGTCCACAAATCTTAAAGCTGTCAAGTTTGAAGACCCTGCCCTATGGTATTAATCCACAGTGGATTATGGCTTCAGTCAAACTTGCAGACTTTGAAATAGTCATACAACAATGGTTTTAAACTTTAACTAGTAATTTTATTAAATATTATAGCCATAAGTGTCTACTTTTGGTGTTGTTTTGTCTTTGGTCAATTGGATCACGACCACCAGCATAAGCAGGACAAAGAAAGAGCAAGCTGTACAGTTGATTAAGATCTCCAAAGAGCCAGCCCAAGAAACAGCTGGCCCTCCTCTTACCTGTAGCGTGCTGTTTTCACTTCTCTTGAGGAACTCAACAAACCTGTCCACAACTCCCTGAGTACTTATCACCTCATCAATTGGAGGATTGGGCTCTAAAATAAAATTTAAAAAGAAATGGAAGGGAGGGAAAGTTAAATATGTATCAAACAGTATTGCATAAGGCTTGCCTATCGTTTGGGAGAGTGGGGATAACTCTGTGCAGACATGCCATCACCAACATGACACATTTAATCTCTCCATCTAACTGCCTGCCCACTTAAGTCTGTGATTCTGTACAATACAACGTATGCTTGCATTGTATCCATGTTTAGCCAAGTACGTTCATTACACACTACTGGGCACGTCAAAGCCTAACTGCTGAAATTTAAGGCATTTAAATAAAGTTATTTGTAATTCAGTACAGTTAAAAAATGAGCAGCTCAGATAGTCTGCTACTATTAGATTTCATCTCTTCAGTCTACCCACCTATAGAAAATTTTCAGATGTTTCTGGCAAAGTATTTGAACAAGAAATATATCTTGAGGGTCTAACAGAAACACTAAGTTAATCTCACCAACTTTTCAGAGTTAAATGTACCTTTTGAAAGAAGCTTCCTGAATCGCTGGGTAGTTACTAACTGAAGATCAGGATCTTCAGAGAACAACATTTTCACCATCTCCATTGTGATCACACCCTCCTGAAAAGATCAGATGTTAATCCACCCATCACCAAATTCAATGCCCGCCTTTCATAACAATTCTCAAACTTTAGATTTACTTCAGGACTATTCCAATTTTCAAGGAGAAGATCCCAGGCTAGGGTTAAGAAGAAAGACATCTAAATCCCAGAAAATTCTTTTAAAAACCTTCCCAGAAATACAATAAGGTATATTGTACCAAAGCAGATAAAATGGGTCCCCTAGCCCAAGGATGGAGAACCTGAAGTCCTGCAGGGGTAACCCACAAATCCCCTTTTCTAGCTCGAACCCGATTGCCAATGCTCAAAATGAAATTAGCAGGATGATTTCCTTAGCTTTTGAGACAGAAAATATTGACTAAGTACATGGAAGTTTTTTAGTATCTGTAGATGTCTTACTGATATTGACCGAGAGAGAGAAGTAAGAAGGAAGCACACTCTACTTACACTACCAATTGTAGAGCTGACCGAGGAATCTACCAGGGGACTGTCAAACATAGAAGCATCTTCATTAATTAGCTCCACATTCCTCCTTTTAAAGAGCTGCAATGGAAAATGAATGAAATTATAAGGGGAACAAACCAAACCCTGATCCCAAGCGGTCATTCGCAGATTGCTAAACAGCTCCTCTGCACTTGTGTTGTAACCCAACATTGGTAACCATCCCATCCCACCTTTTGATCTTTCATCAAGCAGAACCCCATCTCCTAATTGATGCTTTCTGTTCTGCAAGTAGGGCATCTATTTGTGGCTTAACTGAAAAACAGCTTGACGTGATTATTCTTATTCTTTAACACTATTACAAGGCAGAACCATCCTGGAGCCAGGTCGCACAAGGGCTTGGCACTCACGATCTACAAATGTAGAGGGACACACCCATTTCATACTCCCTATCACAAGTCACTCCAACCATTCTCATGGCTTCATTTCTCTAAACGGTTCTTACCCCTTCAACTACCAACTGCATATAAGTGATATATAGAATTTATATGAAATACATACACATGCCCAAAGTATTTTAACAGCAAAGAACCCAACAGAAAATACTATTGCTTTGCACCAAGTGTCAGCAGGCCTAGGGCAGCCTCCTCCTTCCTTTTTCTGAAGATCAACCAGAACCAGACATACAACAAAGCTTGCACTTTAGAGTTAAGCCATGAGATGCCTCTGAACAGCTGCTCACAGCCCAGAACTGCTCTCATTAACCCTTTTGTCATCCACAATGCAACCTTCTGGTTTCACTACCAAGCAGACACACATTTTTCTCGCTAGTTGAGCAAGTAGGCCGTGGGAGTGCCAGGAGCCAGAAATTTACCCTGGTTTATATTCTAAGATAGCAGTTTATTAGTAGATCCTGAACAACCTTCAGCCCACTCTATAATACAAGTAGTTCTTGACTTATGACTGGCTGCTTAATGACCATCTGAAGTTACTATGTGTCAGCTGGTGCTCCGTTCAAAATCCAAGAAAGAAATACTTAGACTCTTGTAATTAGAGAAAATATATCTTTTACTGGAAATCAGTGGTAGCAACAAGAAAATTCTGAATCTGGGGAAATAGACACGTACATCACATATATCAAGGGAGTGAAATGTTCCCACCCCCAATAATTCAAACGGTTCTTCCAATTAAAAGTTGTGAACTTCATCATGTGGACATCTCCAGGTGGTGATGATTAGTTGACCTTGGCTTATTCAGATAAAGGTTTGCAGTTGCACAGAGAAGAGAAAGCTAAGCAGGAATTAGAAACCCCCCCCAGTTTATACAATATCAGTTAGTAACACTTTCAGCTCACGTCCCATACAGTTCCCCCTTCCACCCCCCGTTACTCATGACAGCCAGAAAGAAGCAAAGGAAAGGAGGAAGATCTTGAAGGCTGACACTATGGACATCCAAAAGGTACTGACTGTATAACCGAGTTCCGACAGCTGCACGCACCCCATTGTCACTTGACCGCATCTGGTTCCTCAGCGACTAACCCGATTGATGGCCATTTGAAGCATCTGACAGTTATGTGACAGTGATCTGTGTTTTTACAAAAGTGCCCCATAGAGAACAATGGGTTTCACTTAACAACCACAACATTTATTTAACAACTGATGCAAAAAGGGTTGTAAAATTAGATCTGGTCACACAATGTCCAACTTTACAGCCACAATTTATGAGCATAATGGGCAAGCTTCATTACTTTCATAAGTCGAGGATTATCTGTATTGCACAAAGAAGAGTCAGCCTATTACAGCTGTTCATAATTTAAAGAATATTTAAATAATTTTACTGGATTTAATTTGCTTCATTTTTATTGCTTTCCAAACCTCAAAAGCATAAATAATTTTAGCTTAATTTTATTACTACTAGCAGGAAAGATTCTTTAATTGCCCTTCTCCCATTTCCTGCTACAACACAGCACCAGAAATGAAATGGTATAGGGACTTTTGCTTAAGCAAGGAGTTAGAAGACCTCAACGGTCCCTTCCAACTCTGTTACTCTGTTATTATCTGTTTTGCTGCTCTTCAAAGCATTGACTGGCAAGTACCAGATAAGCCCCAAATGACAAGCAGAAACAATTCTTCTCCCTCACTCCAGGCCTTGGAGAGGGCAATCAAAAGAGGAAGCAGGGCTCCCTTACCTGCTGCTCCCGTTTCTGTTTGCGTAGCTGGATCCCCTCCTCTTCTCTCCTCCGGCGCATCTCCTCTGGGTTCAAAGCTTTGTTTTTGTAACTTTTCATTCTGTAGTTGTTCTCTTTTGCTGGGCTCGCCATGGTTTCTGCAGGCCAGGAAAAAAAAACACAGACACCAACTTTTTTTTTTTTTTTTGCATTATCAATAGAAAATAGGCTACTCACATTATGCCCTGGAGCTGAAGGACACCAAAGGATGTTTTCATCTGGAGGCCTGTTCAGATTCTGCAATGAGTCACTCCACTGCATTAATCTGAACAAATCCTTGGTTTTACCTATACACCCTAAAACCCTTCAACATTTTTCAGTTTTACAGGGCCTTTTTAATTAATCTGTACAAATACGATTAGGTGAAACTTGGTTTCAGTAACTGCAAGAGGGATCTTGGAGTCTTAATGGACAAACACTTAAATAGGAGCCAGAAGGGTACAGCATCCATCCAAAAAGCCAAAGGCTGCATCAACAGAGGGATAGAATCAAGATCACACAAAGTGTTAGTACTGCTTTGTAAGGCCTCGGTAAGAGCACACTTGAAATACTCCATCGGTTTTGGTCGCCGCAATATAAAAAAAGATGTTGAGAGTCTGGAAAGAGTGCAAAAAGCAACTAAGATGCTGACTCTCTTGTTTTGGAGCCCACTCATTTTGGTATACTTAAAAGAACCTCCAACTGATGGTTTAAAAAAATACCTTCAATGTCCAATTTAGCCCAATATAAGCTTTAAAGTCCATTTATTCTATTTTGAATTTGCGTACTACAAAACATCAATAGGAAATTGTATTACTTATCTCTAAATTTAAATACTGTGATCTTGAGACAATAACTAGAGATCAAGTTTGGGTTTTCTGGGATTGCCCAAAACCTGCTTATGGGATTAAATGCAGAATTGGAACTCACAGGTAATATCCATACACATAACAATCTGTCTTCCAATCAGAAAGACCAAAAGGCTTCCTCTCTAGCAATCAATGGCCAGATGAGCAGAGATTAAGACCAAGATTAACACTAGAACAGCAACTGTTAACAGGCCAGATATCTTGCTTTTCTTTTTCTTCAAATTAGATGTTTTAACATTCTTTTACTGTTCTAATGCTTTTTATTACTGTTCTTATTGTTTTAACGTATTTCTCAAATTTTAATTGTAATATATGTTTTGAATTGTGAGCTGCCCAGTCATCTGCTGAGATGGGCGGCTACAGAAATCAAATCAAATAACTCAAACAAACAATACCCCAAGCAAGGAACCACCACTTCAGACAAACAAGCTAATGGTAAACAACAAACCAATCAAGGAAGCATCAGGTCCAATCCCACCAACACTGACTGAGCAAACCCTACTCCTTACTAGCACTGATGGTGTTATCTAGTTTGGTAATGAAGTGTCTACAAGAAAACTACCCAGCTCAGAGAGCACAAAAGACCCAACAAACTCTGGGCTTATTGGTTACACCCTACACGATTTCTCAAAAAATCAGAAGGGAGAAGGCAATGGAGACATGGGCACCAAGGAAAAGCTTTATCCTAAACCTGTATCCAGGGGTCCTGGGTGGATAATAGAGGCATCCTGTTTATACACAGGTTGGTAACATCCAAAGTTGGAAACAGAGCCACCATAGCCTACAGTACTTATCTCAATCCTCCTCTACTCACAAGCCACTAGCCTTTTAATTAGTCCTGCTCCCTGGAGTTCCCTTGCCATATTTTCAGCATGAAATCAGATACAAACAACTTTAGAAACTTTTTCTGGAGTTCACAATGCAACTGCATATTTGCAGCATCTGTTTCTATTTAGACCAATTATTTGCTAAGTCTTGCTTAACTAGGTAACATTCTAAACTCCAAAGAACTTTTCATGCAAGATTAAGAAACCTAACAATGAAATTGTTGAGCAGGTGAGACAATCATTCTGCAAACTGGGAGAAAAAAAGGAATAAACAAACACAGTCAACATATGTCACATTCTTCATTATTGAACTCAGTAGGTATCTGTCTTTGAAGTATCTCTAAAAGAAAACTTTGCACTTTCCAGTGTACAATGACCAGCATATTGTAAGAATGGCTCACTGGTTTAAATGAGTATGACTATGTTACGTGTCATCTTTAAGAATTACTGCTGGAGGAAATATAAGAGGGAGGGGAGGCATCCGGCAAGAGAAGCCATCTGCAAACGCCAGCAACAGAACAGGCAAGCTGCGTTAGACAAAGTAAGCCAGGAAAAGCCAGAATTCAGCAGGGGCCAAACATGTGGCCAATACCATAGAATAAAGACTGAAACTACCATTACCTGATTTTCCTAACCTGAGAAAGCTTAAGTCCCAGGCCAGCCATTTTTACTGAAGCACATCCACAGTGTCTGCTTCAAATTTTTCACTGTACAAGCTGAGTGTGTCCAGCCCTTCATGCAGAGAAAGGCTGGAGAGAAAGGGTGAACCCCATTCCTAGGCTTCTGGTCCAATTCCCTTATAGTGTCATTAGCGGCCCAAAAAGAAAAAAAGTAAATGGGAAAGTAAGATGGGCTCAAAATCCATTCTGGTCACATAACCCAGAGAGAAACTCCCTTCCTTTTTTCTCAGAAGGCTTAAACATTCCTGGCCTATTTTATTATCAATTTTGATCACAAATAAGCCACAGAACAGTTATTCAAACTGATACTTCAAAACTCATCCATTAAAATTAAAACATTAAAACCAAAAATACACAAAGCTCATCCTAAAACCAGTGGTTAATACCAAGAGTCTTATTTATGCCAATCAATGAGCTCACCTGAGGACCCACAGCCTGTCTCCACATGAGACTTAGCCAAATGGCTCGAATTCATGTTACTGCACACAGACTGACTCCAGTTCATGTATTCATACCTGCATTTTGTGGGAAGGGAAAATCAACACATACAGAAATCGAGCTACTGAAGAGAGTGTTTTGGAAATCAGGAACACTACCTCTGTTCAATTTAATTCCTTTAAAATTGTATTTAACCTGGCAACAATACTGATTAAATGTATACACAATTATTCAAATTATTTCCATTTTCACTCTTTGGACCCACCCAATCTCACAAGCGATCTGTCCCAGAACTCATACCTTCCCACATTTTACTGAAAGGTCTCTGTAATCCAGAACCAATACTTCACCAGCTCCCTGTTCCTGATCTGAACAAGCACAGCATTGCTACTTTATGATGTAAGCTGCCAAGAACTGCTTGATGAGGCAGCAGACAAATACATGCAACAAATAAATACGTGCCATTAGCTAATCTCTCCCAGACAACAAGAAAAAGCTGCAGTAAGTGAAAAGCTATGCTTTTGCTAAACAAACAAATCCAATCATATCCCACATTTCAATGGCATAGAGGCCAAGCACCAATGCTTGCTTCCGGCAAAGTGCATGCTCCATTAGTCTAACATGACCTGTATATTATGATATCTCTTGTCACCTCCACCTTAAACCCTGGTTTACCTCTGTTTTTCAACCGAACAAGAAAACTCCTTAGTTGCTGCAAAGCTAGAAAAAACTGTCACAAACACAAAGTCACTACATATCCAAGGGCCAGAATAAAACAGGGCTGGGAAGAAGGGGAAAAGAATGTGATTTGGATTATAAAAAACATAAGAAATTAGAACACACTATGGTTTTTATATGCACAGCCTTGTAAATAGCAAAAACAAAAACAGTACGTCCAAGAATGAAAGCAAAAAACAGACAGCATGCAAGATAACCATCATGTAACCATGACCAAGTTAAAAGTGATTACTTCCTTCTAGAATTGCTCATAAGCTGCCCAGGGACAGGCAAGTAAAAGTTAATAAATAGCAGTGCAAGCACTTGTCAATTTACACCCCTTGGAACAAACCTCCCCCTCCTCAAGTTTGTTCCATAGACTTTTTTAAACAACTTAAAGATGGTGAAGGCAAAATAGGAGTCGGAAAACTGGTAAGAGACCAGGCTTATGAAGAAATTAAAGAAACAGTGGCTGTCCTCATTTCCCCATTCAATTCAGACACACCATGTATTGTTTCTTACTTAACATGTTATATGTGCCAAACTGTATATACATTTATATAATTTATTTTTGGAGAACATTGATTCATTTACAAATGAATCATTTCACAAAGCATCCAAAATCCCACAGAGGGACTTCGGGAGTGCCAGGGACCATCTGCCAAGCTGGGGAAGCTCCCTAGGGCTTCTCCTCAATGCAAGAGAGGGAAGAGAACAGCCTGCCCTTTCTCTCCCAAAATTTTTAGCCTCTCTGGAGCCCGGTCACAGTCCCTCCTGCCCACCCACCCAGCTCACAAAGGCTAGCTAGACCCAGACATCCAGACAAGGCAGCATTCGACAGCACAAGCTGGCTTCTGTGTGAGGGAGGATGGAGCAGCATGCAGAGGTTGGGGACGTCATCACCAGGTTAAGAAAAGTGGGCCATCCTTTCGTCAACCAGTTGCATGAGTCCAGGCAAAAGTCTGACAGCAGCGTGGAGGAGCCTCTTTGCCAGCCATTCTGGCAAACAGCAGAAGCAACAATCGTATGGTCACAGTGACAGCACAACATTACAAATTTGGTGGCATGATGCTCTCTAAGACTGTTCAGCTTCTGTGTCACAAAATATAGGTGACAATTTAAAAATATGCTGATTATATTCACCAACTACAGGTGAAACTCGAAAAATTAGAATATCGCGCAAGTTCATTTATTTCAGTAATGCAACTTAAAAGGTGAACCTAATATATGAGATGGACTCATTACATGCAAAGCAAGATAGTTCAAGCCGTGATGTGTCATAATTGAGATGATTATGGCTTACAGCTCATGAAAACCCCAAATCCACAATCTCAGAAGGTTAGAATATTGTGAAAAGGTTCAATATTCTAGGCTCAAAGTGTCCCACTCTAATCAGCTAATTAAGCCATAACACCTGCAAAGGGTTCCTGGGCCTTTAAATGGTCTCTCAGTCTGGTTCAGTAGGAATCACAATCATGGGAAAGACTGCTGACCTGACAGTTGTGCAGAAAACCATCCTTGACACCCTCCATAAGGAGGGAAAGCCTCAAAAGGTAATTGCAAAAGAAGTTGGATGTTCCCAAAGTGCTGTATCGAAGCACATTAATAGAAAGTTGTGTGGAAGGGAAAGGTGTGGAAGAAAAAGGTGCACAAGCAGCAGGGATGACCGCAGCCTGGAGAGGATTGTCAGGAAAAGGCCATTCAAAAGTGTCGGGGACTTTCACAAGGAGTGGACTGAGGCTGGAGTCAGTGCATCAAGAGCCACCACACACAGACGGATCCTGGACATGGGCTTCAAATGTCGTATTCCTCTTGTCAAGCCGCTCCTGAACAACAAACAACATCAGAAGCATCTTACCTGGGCTAAAGACAAACAGAACTGGTCTGTCACTCAGTGGTCCAAAGTCCTCTTTTATGATGAGAGCAACTTTTGCATCTCATTTGGAAACCAAGGACCCAGAGTCTGGAGGAAGAACGGAGAGGCACACACTGCAAGATGCTTGAAGTCCAATGTGAAGTTTCCAGAGTCTGTGTTGATTTGGGGAGCCATGTCATCTGCTGGTGTTGGTCCACTGTGCTTCATTAAGACCAGGGTCAACGCAGCCGTCTACCAGGAGATTTTGGAGCACTTCATGCTTCCTTCCGCAGACGAGCTTTATGGGGATGCTGACCTCATTTTCCAGCAGGACTTGGCACCTGCCCACACTGCCAAACGCACCAAAACCTGGTTCAATGACCATGGGATTACTGTGCTTGATTGGCCAGCAAACTCGCCTGACCTGAACCCCATAGAGAATCTATGGGGCATTGCCAAGAGAAAGATGAGAGACATGAGACCGAACAATGCAGAAGAGCTGAAGGCCTCTATTGAAGCATCCTGGTCTTCCATAACACCTCAGCAGTGCCACAGGCTGATAGCTTCCATGCCACGCTGCATTGAGGCAGTAATTGCTGCAAAAGGGGCCCAAACCAAGTACTGAGTACATATGCATGCTTATACTTTTCAGAGGTCCGATATTGTTCTATTAGTTCTTGTATTATTGATTGCATGTAATATTCTAATTTTCTGAGGTTGTGGATTTGGGGTTTTCATGAGCTGTAAGCCATAATCATCACAATTATGACACATCACGGCTTGAACTATCTTGCTTTGCATGTAATGAGTCTATCTCATATATTAGTTTCACCTTTTAAGTTGCATTACTGAAATAAATGAACTTTTGCACGATATTCTAATTTTTCGAGTTTCACCTGTAGGAAGTCACTTTTTATGAAACTTTTTATTCAAAACACCTCATGTGCATAGAGAAGCCACAACATACAGAATGGTTTTTCAACTAATTGTGACCAGCTCAACCCACCCATTTAACTGATTTGTTCATGTCCAGATACAGGTAGTCCTCGACTTACGACCAAAATTATGAGCCCAAAATTTATGTTAAGTGAAAATTTGTTAAGTGAATTTTGACCACTTTACAACCTTTCTTACCACAGTTGTTAAGTGAATCACTGCAGTTGTTAAGTAACATGTTTGTTAAGTGAATCAGGCTTCCCCATTGACTTTGCTTGACGAAAGGTTGCGAAAAGTGATCACATGACCCTGGGATGCTGCAATGAATGAAGCAGTTGCCAAGCATCGGGATATTGATCACATGATCACTGAGGTTGTAACTCTGAAAAACAGCCGTAAGTCACTTCAGTGATGTTGTAACTTTGAACGGTCATTAAATGAACTGTTGTAAATCAAGAACTACCTGTACATAACCGCATAGTCTTGCTTTTGCAATTGCCCCCCACATATCCTTAATATAAAATTCAAACTACCTTGTACCATCCAGACCTGGTGGACCTAAATTCCCAGCCCATAAGTCTGAGAATTATGAGCTGAACTTTCAATACAACTGGAGAGTATAGAGTTGAGGGAGGTTGCCTTAGGCTTAGATGGATTAGGATTTTCTCAAAATCACAAAACAAACTCCAAGCTTGATATTTCTGTAACTGCACAATTCAAAAGATATTCCTGAATGGAAAGATTTCAAGGAAACAAGAAGAGAATATTTCAAGTATTCTTCTTTCCTGTAAACTTTATTTCATAATTATAACTGATAAATATAGGATACTAAGAATTTGAATAGACTCCTAAGTTACTGAGTATTTTGTAAGCTTACTGGTAGGAAACTGCTTTTAAAACTGTTTTTAGGACATAAAAGAATAGCACCAACTCTGGCTGCTATGCCCATTTAATTCCTTGTTATTAAGGGACATTTTTTAGGAAACTGGAAAAACTACACAGCACCTTTTTAATAATCCATTTTAAATTAGCTTTCTTGTCCACTTCCTCCAGGACATATAAAATGGCATTACACAATAAAGAAAGAAAAGAAACATAAAAAATTAATCCAACTGAATAAAAGGAATGGAGTCTCACATGTTATCCCTGAAAGGGTTCTCTACGACTACGTGGAGCCAGTATGCAGAGGCAATCAAGCTTTTCTCGACTCAGAACCACAGTTCAAATCTTCTATTGCTAAGAAAGACATTTGTGTGAATTTTGCTCTATTTAAAGATGTTTCTTGCCAGTTAAGTGAATCACTGAAGTTGTTCAATTAATAACATTGCTGTTAAGTGAATCTGGCCTCCCTATTGACTTTGCTTGTCAGAAGGTCGCAAAAGGCATTCACACAACCCCAGGACACTGCAACCGTCATTAATATGAAACAGTTGTCAAGCGTCTGAATTTTGATCACGCGACCACAGGGATGCTGCAATGGTCATAAGTGTGAAAATAGTCAGAAGTCATTTTTTTCAGTGCCATTGTAACTTTGAATGGCCATTAAATGAGTGGTTGTAAGTTGAGGACCACCTGCAAGAAAGGACAGAGATAGTCATAGAATTCATTTGCACCCTGGTTGTGTTTCCTTTCCTCAATTTCTACTACCTTGTAACTCTATTGTCAAGGTCTTTAAATTATGCTTGGGGGGAAAAAGCACAGAGGGGACTGATCTATTGGTCTCATGATTCTGAGAATGCTGTGAAGGATAATACCCATTTGAAGGACTCAAATAAATTACTGAGGGCTTCACCACCTTGTCCCCATTTGCCATAATTGCTTACACAATTCAGAGCCCTCTTCTCTAACCCTGTAATGCCCCCTTTGTCAGATGACTGATTATTTTAAAGCCTCAAGTGGAGGCCCTTCCTAAGATATTTATTAGCATGCAGAGGTAGCCCATATTTGTCTCCTAAAATTACTGAGAACAGCATATAGATGTGCCACACCCAAGAACTTCCCCCACAGCATCACTGCACATCGGTGTAAATATACCCTAAACTGACTTACAGACTACAGAAATCAACAGTGATTGCCTTCGTTATATCTTTCACAGACTGGTAAATTATTATTATCCAGTCATGTCTGCAAACTTAAGATCTCCCATCAGGAAAAGTGCTAACTGAATGTGCTAATAAATCAATAATAAAAGAAATTGGTGAGATTCTGATTTTGAGGCATAAAAAGGCAACACGCCCTTTCATTTCCCCTCTCTGATACAGACCTGTAGACTCCCAACAAGTCACAACTTTCAGCACTTCTGCAACACTCCTAAGCAGGTTCAATGATTGAGCCTTGTATACAAAAGCTGCATTTTCCCCAAGTAAGCCCCCCCCCCCAAGGGCACCAGCAAGAAAATAACCCCCCTGATCTATCACCGTATTTTATGGTGTTTGTATCCTCATACAAAAATTATTGTACGTGTTACATAATTGCATATGATGCAGAGCACATTTTTTGTTATATTTATATAGAAGGTATTTCTTAGGCTAGAGCAAGAGCTAGACACAACGACCGTTTTTCCCCAAACGCCATCACTCTGCTAAACAAATAATTCCCTCAAACACTGTCCAACTATTTACAAAGTCTGCACTACTATTACTATTAATCTTCTCATCACTCCTTATTGCCCATCCCCTCCCACTTGTGACTGTACTTTGTCGCTTGTATCCTAATGATTTATACTGACTGTTTCTAGCATGATTTGATCGCTTATTGTACCCTGTGGCTATTATTAAGCGATGTACCTTATGATTCTTGACTCTTGACGAATGTATCTTTTCTTTTATGGACACTGAGAACATTTGCACCCAGACAAATTCCTTGCGTGTCCAACCACACTTGGCCAATAGAGAATTCTATTCTATTTAAACTTGGCCACTTTAAGACTTGTGGACTTCAACTCCCAGAATTCCTGAGCTAACATGACTGGAGGAGGAACTCCGAGAGTTGAAGTCCGCCAGGCTTAAAGCGCCCGGTTGGAGACCCCTGCACAGTAGCCTAATGGCGCAAACGCCCCCCCAGTAATGGCAGTTGAGGCTCCCCTCATGCCCCCGTCTTTCAAAGCCCTTCCGGGCCCAAATCCCATTCACCGCATCGCGCCAAGCCTTGCGGCGCCTCGGGAGCGAAAAGGCCCGCGGCTCCCTCCTCAGGCCCGGCGCCCACGGACGCCCCTCGGGTTTCCAAGGAGGCCCGTTCGGGAAGTTTCCTCGGGAAACGGGAACGGGGGAAAGGAGCCTCTGGAAGGGAAAGCGGGCACCGGCGGGGCGGCCTCGGAGCCTGGGCCCAGCGTCTCCCGCCGGGCGCTTGGCCGCCCTGCGCGGGACCTTCGGGGTGGGAGCGGAGGCGAGAAGCTCAGCGGAGGAGAGGAGGAAGGAGAGGCAAGACGGCTCCGAGGGGGCTCCTTCCCCCGTATTCGCCCCAGCCCCTCCGAGCAGCGCCCCGCCGACTGCTTACTCGGCCTCCCGGCAGGACTGCGGCCGGAACGTCGCTCTTTCACCCCCCCCCCCCAACCCGGAGGCCCAGCGCTCCGCCGGGGTCCGCAGGACGCGGCGGGACGAGGGCCGGCCTTGCTGTCGCCGGCGCCTTCGGACGCCTCGCCGGCCACGCCCCTCCGCCCGGAGCCGCCGCCAGACGCGGGGAGGACGGGGGGGGGCGGGCGGCGGCTGGGCTTCCGGGGCGTGATGCGCGGGGAGGGCAAGGGGGAGAGAGAGAGAGAGAGAGAAAGAGAGAGAGACTCCGCCGGCCGCCTCACCCATCTCCGCCGCCGCTCCGTCCCGTACCTCCTTCGCCGACAATATGGCGGACAAGCCAATGGGCCAAGGAACCAAGGCGGAGCTTAATAGAGGAGCGACGGCGGCCGAAGCGGGACAGCATGCGCGCCACGAGCCTTCGCGCCCGAAGCTCCGCCCCCGCCCCGCCGTTTGGCTGGGATCACGGCGGCTCGGGGCTGAGGTTGCGAGCGAAGCCCTGGTGGGGACCGGAGCCGCGCGCGACCCCTGCCCTCGCGGGACGGCCGGCTGCCCGGAGGCGGTTCATGGGGGGAGGAGGCGGGGAAACCCGCCCAGAGGGACGGAGAGAGGCTCTCCTCCTCACTTTCCTCCCGGAAAATAATTTTTTTTTTAAATTTAATTGTTTTATTTTGCAATTTTTAAAAATCAAATTTTAGAAAAGGCTCATCTCCCTCACATAAAGATTCTGGGCACAAACTGTATACAATATAAAAAATTTAAAATAGAGGCAAGGATAGTTAAAATGTGACATTAAAAATAATTAAAACTTAATGTAAATGCTGGGAGAGAAAGACTCTAACCCAGGGCTCTCCAAACTTGGCCTAAGACTTGTGGACTTCAACTCCCAGAATTCTCCAGCCAGCATAGCTGATAAAGAGTATATGATCGTAGGGTTGGCTCATAGCTTGCTGGAGAATTCTGGGAGTTGAAGTCCACAAGTCTTAGAGAGGCCAAGTTTGGAAACTTCTGGGAGCCCCAAGCAAGATGGTGGGGAAGATCTTTTCAAAGGCCCAGGAGAGGAGACACCACCATCCCATTCACCTCTGTGGGAGAATATCAGTACTGGAGTATTGTTAATCGCAATTGATTGGTTAAACAAGGTATTTACTATATCTTTTTTAAAAGCTGGCCTTTTAAAAATATTTTTTAAATGATTTTTATTGTTTTCCACCAGTACAAATCAAATTTACATTTTCAACAGCATTTGCATCAACATGTAATATTATCTTATGTTTCTATCTATTCATGCATATCACTAATAATTATTATCTTTACTTATATTTACTATTAATATCTAGTTTTATGTATTTTACCTATCTGCATGTCTATGTATCACTCTCTTAGGAGAGTCCTGCATCAATTTTAGTTTAATGTGTGGTTTCTTGTCCAGCCAGACAAATTTAGTTGTTATTTTACTTAGTTCATCGAAAAAATGGTTTTCCTAATTTTATCAGGATCATCTGGAAGAGATACATCAATTTTGGTAGGGCATTCATTTTCAACACTGCAATTCTTCTTAATATTGATAGTTGTAGTTTCCCCCATGTTTCTAAGTCTTTCCTGATTTGTTCGATTAATTTGGTATAATTATCCTCTTTTACTGATAAGTACCTAGCGGACAACCATATTCCCAAGTATTTTTTTTCCACTCTGTAGTCCCATTTTACTTTGTAATTCTGTTTTCTGTTTTGTAGTGCAGTTTTTAATTATCAGTTTTGTTTTTATTTATTTTCAATCCTGCGACTTCTCCAAATTTTTCTATTTCTTGATGTAGTATAGGTCCATTTTTGATTGGTTCTTCCACTATGAATACAAAATCATCTGCAAAGGCTTGGACCTTGTATTCTTCATTTCTAATTTTAATCCCTTTTATTCTTAAATTCCGTCTGACTGTGGCAAGTAACACCTCTAAGGATAAAATAAATAGCAGATGTGATAATGGGCATCCTTGTCTCACTCCTTTGCCTATCTCAAAGTCATCTGTACATTCTCCATTCATTAGCACACTTGCTGTTTGGGTAGAATATATAGCTTGTAGTGTCTTTACTATGTTAGTACCAAAATTCATTCTTATTTGTTGTAGCATAAATTTCCAATTAAGATTGTCGAAAGCCTTTTGTGCATCCAAAAAGATTAGTGCTGCTCGCTTTTCGGGGTGTGCTTCATAACACTCGATTGTATTTAACACTATTCTGATATTGTTCCTGATTTGTCTATTTGGTAAGAAGCCGTTCTGGTCCGAATGTATAATCTCGCTTAAAATTGGTTTCATTCTCTCTGCCAAAATTGTCATAAATATTTTATACTCTGTGTTCAATAAGGAAATTGGTCTCTATTGCTGTTTTCAATTCAGACCAAGTAATATCTTTGTTTAATAATTCTTTCATCTCTTCCCCAATTACTTCATCCCTCATTTTATCTAATAGTTTCTTATCCTATCCTCATTGACCTCTTCCTTTTTATATAAGTCTTCAAAATACTTATGGGCAATTTCTTTTTTCTGTTCTATCCCCTCTTGTGTATCTCCGTTTCCATCTATTAATTGGTAAATCAATCTTTTTTCTTTCCCTTTTTTAAGTCTATAGGACAACCATCTCCCTGGCTTTTTAGCGTGCTCAAAATACATTTGTCTAGTTGTATTCATATTTATAATCATTCTCTCTTGTTCAATTAAATTCAATTTGTGTTTAGTTATTGTCATCTAGTTTTACAATCTTGAATCCTTTGGGGTACTTTGTAATTGAATTTCTAATTCTTTAATTTTTTGTTGTAATTTATTTTGCTGGGCATATTTTTCTTTATTCCTCTTGGCGTTATAAGAGATTGTTATGCCTCTTATTACTGCCTTCATTGTATCCCAAATATTTTATTTCGTAGTTGCTCCATTGTTATTTTCTTTTAAGAAATGATTTAATTCCTCCTTAAGTTTGTTCGTATATTCTTTTTCTCTAATTAACTGCGTATTTAAGGTCCACCTTTTCCTGGGTTTTTTTCTACCTTTCTAGATTATCTGAATTGGATTGTGGTCTGCCCATTCATTAGGTAAAATTTCAATCTCTTTTATTTCATTTGCTATTTCCCCATTCATCTATGCCATGTCAATTCGTGTCCATATTTGGTGGGGGTTTAAATAAAATGTAAATTGTTTTTTTCTCAGGGTTTAACCTTCTCCATATATCAATCAAATTTAACTCCCTCATCATTTCCATACATATTTTTGGAAGCTCTCTTTTTTTCCTGTTCCTCCCCCCAATACTGTGGTCTTTTTGATAATCAGCATTAAAGTCCCCTATGATACAAATATTATTTTTTTCCACTGCTACTATTTTTTCATGTAAATACTTAAAAAACTCTTTTTGCTCTCCATTCGGGGCATAGATTACCACTAAAAGGATTGGGATAGCATTGATCCAGATCTGCAAAACCAGAGTTCTTCCATAAGGGTCCGACCATATTAACTCTGCTTTCATGTCCTCTTTCACATACACTGCAATCCCTTTCTTTTTCCCAGCATCTGCTGGTGCAGTAAATAGCTTCCCTAATTTCGGGCATTCTAAATATTTTTCATCAGATTTCTTTATATGAGTTTCTTGTAGGCATACTATGTCAGCATTTTGCTTGATTAATTTAGCTATTGTCCTTTTCCTTTTTATTGTAGAGTTTAAACCATTTATGTTAATTGACAATATTTTCCTTTCTTCTTCCATTGTTTAGTTTTGTTTTGCTCTTTGTCTTGTGACTGGTCCGGTTTCTCTTTGTACTTGAGAGTGTATCCTATCTTCTCTCTCCTGGCGTGGTTGACTATTTCCTTGATTTCCTAAAGCTCCATATCTATTCTTATGTTGGTCTTGATCTTCTTGGGAGTTCGTTTCCAATTCGTCCTTACTGCTCTGCTCTTCTGGGCCTACCAACCGTTCATAAAATTCCTGGGCCTTTTCCATAGTATCTATTTTAATTTTCCTTTCCTCCCACGAAACTAACATCCCCTCTGGGATTAACCATTTAAATAAGATTCCTTTTTTATTTAAGTGGGCCGCTAAAAATTTATAGTCTCGTCTTTGATCTCTTACTCTTCTCAGTATTTGTTTGAGGACCGAGATTTCTTTGCCTTTATACGTAATTGATTCTTCTCTTGATATCTTGTACATAATGTCCCAGACGTTCCTTCTCGCGAATCGTATATGGACTTCTCTTGGGCATTTGTGGCATCTCGCATAATTTGTACTAACTCCGTAGACTCCATCAAACTCTCTCAAGATGTCATCTTTGTCCTTTTCCAATAGTTCTACCAATATTTCTTCCATTACTTGTTCCAAATCTTCTTCTCTTGATTCCGCTATATTCTGGAATCTCAAGTATGTAGCAGCTTTGTCCATCTCTAGGTAGATGAAGGAATCCTCCATTTCCTTGCTCACATTCTTTAGTTGTTCATCTACCCTTTCCAGTTTCCTTTCAGTTCGTTCTGTTCTTTTATCTACCTCTTTTATTGTTGCTTCATTTTTCTCCAAGGCCTGTTGTATTATTCCAACTTTCTCCTCTACTTTGGAAATATCTGCTTTCATTTCTGCTTTTAGTTTCCCCATCTCTTCTTTTAGTCCATTTATATCTGCTCTCATCTCATTGTGGTTTTTCATCATTGTTTCTTGCAACTTTGACATCGATTTTTGTAGAGTAAGCAGGATTGATTGGATATTAACATTCGAGGAGGTGGTTTGTTTCTCCAATGGTATTGTTTCTTCAATTGTCTTTTGTGCCATGGGCGAAGGTATTGCTGACATAGTTGTTAGCGTCGAGGTGGCCTTTCTTCCGGTTTTCAGAGTTGTAGTTGTAGATGTCATTTCTTTTAAAATTTGTTTTTGTTGTTGTAATATGTTGGTTATGTTGTCCCAAATTAACATTCAATGGTAACAGTCGATAGTATATATTAAAATTAATCAATAATTCAATTAATTAATCTATCCCTCTCTTCAATATCTAAGCTCTGTATATATTTAGTAGGGTGATGTTTCTTATAAGCAGTAATATTAACCCAGTATACTTTCAAATTTGAATTCTATATCACATATATAATTTATATATAGCCTAACCTTTCTTATTAATTGTTACTAAATCTCTATATGTAGGTTCAAAATACTCCTAATAAACAATATTTAATCCTGTCACTCTAATCTAAATCTTATTATCTAAAACTAAATATATATAAATGCTCTAAGGTACTATCTCTGTAAGATGTTTCCTCTAAGTAACTATCTTATCAAACCCTTTTATTTTTCCAATATTCTTGATCATACACAACCATATAGTAG